GTGAAGACTTACAGAAAACGTTTGACCTCTGTCATTGCCAACAAAGGATATACAACAAAGTATTGAGATGAAATTTTGTTATTGACCAAATACTTACAGTATTTTCCACCATTATTTTCAAAAAAATTCTTTAAAAGTCAGACAAAATGATTTTCTCAAATTTTTTTTCACATTTTGTCTCTCATAGTTGAGGTCTACCTATGATGTCATTTACAGGCCTCTCTCATCTTTTTAAGTGGGAGAACTTGCACAATTGGTGACTGACTAAATACTTATTTTCCCCACTGTATCATTTATATATAAACAACTTATGGATTTAGATATCCTTTCAGTGACTAAAATAAGAGAAGCTTGGGAACAGGAGTTAGGTATACATTTTTCAAATGAACAATGGGAGAAAGCAACATCCAGTGTTCGTTATAGTACGTCTTGTGCTAGATTGCAACTTATTCAGTTTAAGGTATTATATAGGATTCATTATTCAAAATCCCGTTTGTCTAAGATTTATCCACATGTGGTAGATCAGTGTGAGAGGTGTCATGCCAGCCCATGTAACCTGAGTCATATTTTTTTTTCATGCCAGAATCTCTATAACTTTTGGAATCAATACTCAGTTATTCTCTCCAAAGCTCTCGGTATCCAAGTCTGCATGGACCCTTTCTTAGCTGTTTTTGGGCTTCCAATCAATGCTGTAATAATGAACTCCGCTCAGTCTAAAATATTGGCCTTTACATCACTTTTAGCCAGACATTGTGTTTTACTTCTTTGGAAATCATCTTTATTTCTTTATGGTTTCGAGATGTTATGTCATTTCTTAAACTGGAAAAGATCGGTTTTACAAAACAAGGCAACTATGGAAAATTTGATCAAATATGGGGCTCTTTTCTGAACTATTGCAAGTCATTAAAGAACTTACCTTCTGAATGATAGTTCCCTGCCCCCATTATTGTATTTTATTGTTATTATTTTTGTTTTTAATTTAGTTTTTTGTATGTGTACATGAATGTATTTATTTGAAAACTTTTAGTTTAATGTCTGCATAAAACAAAAAGAAAATATGGGAAAAACATGATTGTAACTGTTCACTAAATGTTGTATTTCCCTAATAAACAAATTATAAAAAAACTTAGAGAGGACTTGATGTTAACACAAACTGAAGTCTTGTGGCTTCAAGTTCATTTTCCACATTTAAGACCTCTTTTGGTTGGATGTGGCTACAGGTGTGTGTGTGTGTGTGTGTGTGTGCCCTGATTCAAGTCATATTTTCCAGTGTGAATGTGGTGAACATGTCATTTTAAAAACGTCTGTGGAATGAACCTGAGAACAAACTGTTCTACAGTATGACAGAAATGAAAACAACAAAACCACACATCAGAGTTGTTGGTCTATGCAACATCCTGTTACCGAAATTAAAGAAATCTCTAACTGGTTCAAACCAGTTAGAGATTCTTTTACACCATCAGTATGCAGTTAGGAAACTTGTCTATTTCACTAGTAGTATAAAAATCTTGTGTTTTCACATAAAAACAAACAAAAACAAAGCATAGTATAAGTGTCAGGATGTAGTGTTTGCTCTGCATGGGGACACGTATGATGACCACTCACCATTCGTTTCTGGATAAAGAGCTGAGCTCCCTTCAGGGCTCCTGCCATGTTCTGGCACAATCTTTGGCGCTCCTCCTCATTCAGCACTTGGGTGTAGAAGACACGAACCTGAAACCAAATGGACAGAAATTCACCTTTGAAGAAACTGGTTTCTTTTATAGAGTTAACTCTGGCCTCACGTCAACACACTCATCATCAGCCCTGTGCTGGGATCGTGTGCAGAAGTCTGCTCACCTTCACACACTGCTGCACAGTTATTAATACATACTTGACTCTCCAGCTCAACTGAAACTGATAATGTGTCATATTTATATTAACACCTATTAACCTCCAAACAACAAGCTTGAGAAAAACTTCTATCAATAAGTCAAGAAGACTTTCTACTGAAGAGGACAGGAAGATTAAAGCTGCAGGTGGAAAAAAACTAAACTGAAAACATGAAGCAAAATAAAAAAATGTAAGCTGCAATAAACATGGTGAAATGATAAAGTCTGCAAGTTCAGAGAAAATGTGGCAGAAAATAATTCCTTTCAGCAACCAGTGTTTGACTAATTGTAGTGTACCTTTAAAATGTCTGACTGGAAACAAGCATCACCATTACAAATCCATGAACAACCCATAATGTAGCAGGGACTGGCCTGAGGCTTGTTACACTCACATTTTAACAATACTAAACAAAAAGTGGCAGAGAATCTTTAAACTATTTTATGAAATGAATTAGTATGAATTAGAATTATTACTAATTAGTATGAATTAGAATTGTTATGACCCCCACTACACGAAGCGGGGGTCATATTGTTTTTATATGTTTTCTAGAGATATTTGGTCAACCGTAGCACAGAAATTAGTGCACCTAGCAACATGACATCTGGTGGGGCTATAGATGTAGTAGCCCACCTACACTGCAGGAGAAAAAAATGAAATAATCACAATTTTGCCATAGACTCCATATTTTAAGTGGGGGCGCCATTTCAAAATCTGGTGTCTGGATATAAAAACATGTTTAAGACTCAAACTCTTCCACGTGGGAACTTCCGACTCAGTCGTTGTTGTCGTTGTTGTTTGTTGAAAGGCTATCAGTTTGGCAGAGAGTTTGGTGAGGCCTTGGACAAAGACTCTCGGTCAGCTCCGAGGATATTCTGGTAAACCACGCAGTGGCTGAGGCGGGGGAAGCAGCACTTCACTAACACTGCTCAGTGAAGGTGGGGTGCTGCTGACCTCAACCAGTGATGTCGTCGGGAGGTGGAAGGAGTAGTTCTTGGACCTTCTCAATCCCACCAGCACGTCTTCTATGGAGGAAGCAGAGTCTGAGGACTTTGGTGTTGGGTCTGTCCATAACTGGAGCTGAGGTGACTGAGGTAGTTAAAAAGCTCCACGGTGGCAGGGCTCCAGGGGTGGATGAGATCCGCCCTGATTTCCTCAAGCCTCTGGATGTATTGGGGCTGTCCTGGTTGACATGTCTTTGCAACATCACATGGACATCAAGGGCAGTGCCACTGGTTTGGCAGACTGGGGTGGTGGTTCCTCCCTTTAAAAAGGTGGAGCGGAGGGTGTGCTCCAATTACAGAGGCGTCACTCTCCTTAGCCTTCTGGAGGAACAATGTGGGTTCTGTCCTGGCCGTGGAACAGTGGACCAACTCTTTACCCTCACTAGTGTCCTCGAGGGGTCATGGGAGTTTGCTAATCCAGTCTACATATGTTTTGTGGACTTGGAGAAGTCATCGACTCAGTCAGAAAAAGGAGGGTCGCTCTCTCCAGGTTGGGGTGACGTTCTGCCTCAAGTGGAGGAGTTCAAGTATCTCAGGGTCTTGTTCACAGTGAGGGAAGAATGGAGTGTGAGATTGACAGATGGATCAGTGCAGCTTCCACAGTTTTACAGACTCTGTACCGGTCTGATGTGGTGAAGAGGGAGCTGAGCCAGAAGGTGAAGCTCTCAGTTTACCAGTGTGTCTACGTTCCTACCCTCATCTATGGTCAGGAGCTTTGGGTAGTGACTGAAGAAGGAGATCACAGATCCAAGCAGCTGAAATGAGTTTCCTCTGCAGGGTGTCTGGGCTCTCCCTTAGAGATAGGCTGAGAAGCTCAGTCATCCAGGAGGGACTCAGAGTAGAGCCGCTGCTCCTCCACGTCCAGAGGAGCCAGTTGAGGTGGTTCATCTGGTTAGGATGCCTCCTGGATGCCTCCCTAGGGAGGTGCTTCAGGCATGTCCAACTGGGAGGAGACCCAGAGGAAGACCCAGAGGAAGACCCAGAGGAAGACCCAGGACATGCTGGAGAGAACTCAGCTGGTCTGGGAACACCTTGGAGTCCTCCCAGAAGAGCAGGAAGAGGTGTCTGAGGAAAGAGAGGTCTGGACTTCCCTGCTCAAACTGCTACCCCCGTGACATGACTTAGGATGAAGAGGAAGGAAGGAAGGAAGGAAGGAAGGAAGGAAGGAAGGAAGGAAGGAAGGAAGGAAGGAAGGTCTTTAAGCTCTGAACAAACATGACC